ATATATATATATATATATATATATATATATATATATATATATAGATAGATAATATTAGTGGAAAATATACATACATATGAAAAATATATCTAAAAATTCCCATACATGTATATTTTCAGAAAAAATTTTCCAAGAGGAAGGATCCAGGTAGAACTCAATGTCTAGGACAGAGTAAGGATATAATAAAAAGGCTTAAACACTAATATTCCATGGTCATAATTTATTCCATTGGAATCGTAAATACGATCCAAATCATCAGACCTACAAATTCAAAATGAAAACAGAAAAAACAACTCCGAAATCAAAACAGAATTTAGAGAAAGTGTAAGTATGAGGATGAGTGACAGAGAGAATTTTTGGAGATGTGGGTGGGGTGGATTTAAAAAGAGGAGAGAAAGAAAGTCGACGGATGTCTAATACATAAAGATACATTTCGTGGTGACATATACACACCACAGACAATTCGGATAGGAAGGAAAAAAAAAAAAAAGGAAAGGTTGGAGGAGAGGGATGGGACGAAGGAAAATAAAATGTGTTTACATAAAGGGACACTTCGTAATTGGGAAAATTAAATCAAATATAAATATATGAAGATGAATATAACGATTGTCTCATTTTCGCAAGGACCAAATATTTCTATGTTCAAAACACATACTAATACACACAAAAAATATATACAAGTAGGTACATACACTTAGGCATGTACACACACACACACCCAGACATACGTGTACATGCACATACATACACACATACACACATATATATATATATACATACACATATATATATATACATATATATATATATATATATATATATATATATATATATATATATATATATATATATATATATATATATATACATATACAACACACACACATATATATATATATACAAAAACCTAAAAATATATTCACATATCCACACATACACATATTCATCTATATTCATATACACACACTTTTCACATACATATACACGCATACATATGCCCCATGTATACATTCATACATACATACATACTTATACATACACACACACATACATATACATATACATACACACACACATACATATATATATATATATATATATATACCTATATATACATATACATACACATATATATATATATACACACATATACCCATACATCCACGCACATACACACACACACACATACATATATACACACATACACACATATACACACACATACACACATACACATACATATATACACATGCAAATACATACACACTTTACATATTCATATATATATATATATATATATATATATATATATATATATATATATATACATACATATATATTCATATATATATATATACATATATATGCTCATATATATATGCATATATATACTCATATATATATGCATATATATACTCATATATATATACATATATATATATATATATATATATATATATATATATATATATATATATATATATATATATATATATATATATATATATATATATATATTTCCTGCTGCACTTGCATGCAATACTTTCTCCTGTACTGTTTGTGGTCTTTTGTGCAATTCTTGAGCCAGACTTTTAAAGTAATGCCTTTCATAGGCATGCAGATAATAAGTAGGTGGTAATCAGAAACTTATAGGTCGAACTCAACGGGAGAGTCCTTATACATATATATATATATATATATATATATATATATATATATATATATATATATATATATAGTTTATGCAAATTTAGGTAATCTGTATGGGTAGACCTGAGGAGGATGATATCTAGAGAGCTCAATGTAAAATTCAGAGCAGATATGTTTGAATAAAAGACAGACCACGTTAAGATTCCATGTAATAAGCTATTTCACCATAACCCCTTTAACAGGGTTCTGGATCATCAGACTTTACTTCCAAAAGCTGAAACGTCTCCCCACAAGGTACCAAGGGGTTATGATGAAATAGCTTATTACATGGAATCTTAACGTGGTCTGTCTTTTATTCAAATATATAGATATGTGTGTGTGTGTGTGTGTGTTCAATAGAAAAGTGTTCAACTTTCACTTACTATCCATTACTCACAGTCAAAATATATAGAGGTTTTTGTTTAACTCTTTCTCTCTTTCAGTGTGGTGTGTGTGTGCGTGTGTGAGAGAGAGAGAGGCTGAAACTTGAGATTGCTTTAACGGATCATCAATTTCTCTTTCTTATTTCTCAGTTTGTATTGTTTTTTTTTTATTCATAATTCAAGGCTTAGAAAGAAAAAATTATTTCTCAATTATAGGTACTAAATTCTACAGAAATATATATATATATATATATATATATATATATATATATATATATATATATATGTATTTCTTACATGCCAAAATCAGACTTCAAATAAAGGAAAGGCCCCTTTACACAATTTTTGTAAAAAAATATTTAAAATAAAACTTTATAAATTTTGATTTTCAAAAAATAAGATCAATTATTACAACAATTTAAAAAAAAAATAAAATTAACAATTTTTATTTTCGTAAGTAGTTAAATTAAAAATTTACTAAATGAGAGAAGATAATTATTTTAAAGAACTTTTGTGTTTAATTTTTTTGTTTGAAATTAACTTTAATTCTCTGTTTAAATAATAAACATTCGTCAATCATTTTATTACTGAAAACATGCAAATTTTCCTTTCTTTTATATCGGAAAAATTGCTAGAATTCAGGATTGGAACACTTTCATTTAATTTTGCTTTTAAAATACTGACATAATAACGATAAAGAATTCTTTTCTTTCAAAACTGGTGAAAAAAATAAAATAAACAATTACATATTTTTCAGTTTCTAAATAAAAAAAAAAAAATAATTCACATAATTTTGATAGTAAAAGATAAAAAATCATTTTAATTCCTCTCTAAATGTTAAGACAAAAGTTCAAAGTGTGACAAAAATACTGCCCTTATAATGGTAAGACATTAGCTAGATGAAAACATCATTGCCACTATGGTTTATCATTATGTAAGAGACATTTCTGGGAGGTATATGTGGGAGTTATTTCTGCTGTACATTGTATAGAGAAAGAAATGAAGGATTTTTTTTCATTAATAAAATATTTCAAGGTAATTTATATTTATTTATACAAAATAAATAACTATATCTGATAATGGAAGCTTGACTAAGAAACAATTACAGTAGCCTGAACAGTTTTTATGGACAAGTAATATTTGGGTAAGATCTAGCACCTGTTTGTCCCTTCGTTAGAGTTAGTATTTTTTTAAACCCACCCAATAGGCCCGTGTAGGAAGCGGGATGTTGTTTATTTATATATGTGTGTGTTGGACTATGAAGTGTTTTTTTGTCGCAGTGTGTTAGGAGTGTTCCACCAAGAAACGAGCTATAACTGACGGATGCTGCACAAGTATATATCTGATTAATATCAATTCGGATGCCATGAAGAAATAGAATGATACTGTAAGATCCAAAAACCCTAATGATTAATGGGTAAAAACATCAATGATGATGTCGGCCAAAATATTTAGCGAAATGTATATGTGCAACTCATTTTTTTTTTGTATTTTTCTGGCCAAGTTTACATAATAAAAATATTTTAATAAAAGATAAACAAAATTATTCTAAATGTTTTTCTGGGACTATTTCAAGCTTGCCAGTGATGACGAGTAGCCCTGTCATGTCCAATAATCTATTAGGTTGGTGCAAAAATAATGACGTAATAATGTCGTTTTTGGATGTATTTTTTAAGGTCAAAAAACGACATCATTACGTCATTATTTTTGCACCAACCTAATATAATGTTAGCAGTAATTTTAATATCTTTGACAAGAGAATCAAATGATTTCATCAGTATTATAACACTCTGTTCAGTATTTAGTAATGCTGTCATTCAGATTATTTCGTTTCTTTCCTTGATGTTCAGTGCTCCCAATTTCTTTGCGACAAACAACTGGATGGTTTCAAGCCTCCCAATAATGGCCATGGGTATTACCTAAAACTACATCCGACAATTTAGGTTTCCCTAGAGTTCATAATTAGGGTGCCCCGAATTACTGTTACCTACAGGTGATCTTTGGCTAAGATCTAACACCTATTTGTTTCCTAACCAGGTCATGAATTTTTTTTTTCACCCAACAGCCACATAGCAAGTGAAGTTTTTATATTTGTGTCTGTTGGACTATAAGAAAGTTCTTTCATCACAGTGGCTCAGGAGCGTTCCTTTGAGAGAATAGTTGTAGCTGACAGCTGTCACCCACAATTCTACATCTGATCAATATCAAATAGGTAGCTGTGGAGGAGGGCTATGATGTACAACCCAAAACAGCTAATGATCCACAGACGAAAACAACACTGACAATGTGGGCCAGAGCAATGAACATCAAATAATCATTTTTTTATAAAAACTGCTAAGTTAAATTTTAAGGGCTTATGGCTACATCGCATTGAAATACCCATCCCATACAATCACTGAAGTTAAGCTATGTCAAACCTGGTCAATAGCTAGATGGGTGACTGCTTGTGAATACCAGGTGCTGTAAGCTAGGGTTACAGGTGGTGTTATGGATAACAGCTAGGAATTGTTAATTGTAGAGCAGAATTAGGTTCATTATATTCACTTACATGCAAGAATTATTGGGAAAGGTATGGAATCAATGTCTTCTCCCAGCTATGGGTTAATTAGTAAGATTTGTATCACTAAAACCATTATTATCTCAGAAAATAAAATAAAATAGTATACAAAATATGTAGATTTTGGTATTAAATAACCCATGGAGATGATGGTATACTGCCAAAAACCAAAATATTAAAATTTATGATTAAAAAATTTTTAAAAATCAACATAATTTAAAAAGTAGATGTAAAAAAAATCATCTTAATATTTAGAGAGGAGTTAATTACAAACAAAAAGTCTATCGTCAGAAATTAAGCATTTTTTCATTATTGAAAAATATCAAGGTAATTTTCTCTGTACAAATAATCATTTCCCTATGAATGTATTTCTAACTCATACATTTGATATTTTTCACACATAAAAGATCTCCAGATTCAGAAGCAGGTTCATAATAAGTCATATTTATTTGGGCAATGGAAGACAGCATTTTGTAACCAGGGAAACCAAAACTACGCATCAACCAATGAAACAAGCTGTCACCTTCTTCTGCAGTTCCAATATTGAAACCATTGAATGCAAAATCAGTCATAAAAATAGCTGAATTCTGAAAGAAGAAAAATCATAAATATATATATATATATATATGTACAAATGAACACAAAGCAATAATATATATGTAGTGAAAGCAACAAATAAATTACTAAATAACCTTCAACCCTTAATACTAGGATCAAAATAAGAATAGAATCAAAATAAGTAATAATTAATAATAATAAAAAAATTTAAACAATGCTTTAAAATATAGATAAGAACGGTAATTAACAATAAAGAAAGATGAAGTTAGAACATAAAAAATAGTTAAATAGAATATAGAATACTCCCATGATGCAGCAGAATAAATGTTTTACCACCAATAGAAATAAAGGTCGAAAGTTTCTCACTCTGAAGAATGCAGGCATTCTGAACAGTCTGGGATAAAACATGTTGCCACCAACAGATAAGCAAAATTTCTTTATTTCTGTATATATATATTGAGTGTAAGAGCGTAATTGTCCAAAACGTGTAACAGGAAAATTGTTAGATTAAGATTTGAACCATTGCATCTTAGATTAAAGATATCTTACTGGAATTCTCCAAGAATTTTATAGCATTATTGGACTCTACATTGAACAATAAGAATGTATTTAGTTCTAAGTTAAGTTGAAATGATGATGCCTCTTGCTATTGTGACCTCCTGATCCAGTTTTCCTGTCTACTGTTCCCTCTTTTTAAAACTTATTCACTGTTCTTTTGATTGTTCTTGAATGGAATTTGAAGGTGGAAGACAGAGTATGTACGTTGGTACCATTACTGAAAGCCTGAATTCACTCAACCAGAAATTTGGAAACAGTATGCTATACTGCTTAGCATTTGCACCGGAAGCTCCAATATGAACATTTCAGAGTATTTGGCTGTCAATCTGAGTGCAGAGGATACCAAAACAGTTGGATGTTTCTAATAGTGATTATCAAGGTGTTTAGAGAGATCACTACAGAAGGTATTGTTACGCCTCCATTCATCGAAAGAAGTTATCTGAGTGTCCATTCTTTGATATAACTTAAATGAAAGTATACGCAGAAATGATTTTCTTTTAGTGAAGTTCTTTGAGATGTAGGTCTCTGTAATTTTTAACTCTTTGTTGAATTTCTAATGGACATCTCAAGTTTAAGTAAATTAAAACTTAGTACAACATTTTTTCTTTTTTTTTAATAGGAGTAGATAGGCTTTCTATAGTGGAACACACCTATTCTATAGTTAATAGACTCTCCCACCTATAATAAGTAGGAGTAGTAAGAGTAACAGGGAGTCGCTCGGTGGGTCAGTCAGTCAGTTGATGCCAGACGACCGTTAGTTGGATACTAAAGTATCAGCGACCACAACTAGATTACTCTGCGTCATTACCTATTATATCAAGTTCCTAACGTTTTGTACGTCGAACCTATTTTAGGACCGACTTAGTACAAATACAAGCCTCCACTGGGAAATCACTCCATAACACTTTCCTATTGCCCGGTTCATACTTCTCCCCCTACTCTTGAACAGGAGTAGAGATTCATGCCTAGTTTCCTGTTTAGAAAGGGGTTCCTGATTCCTTTCCTTGTCTCAGGCCTTAATAGTTGTGCTGTCATGAATTTTTTTGCGATATGTGTGGATGGTGACAACATCTCTTCATTCTGAGGGTACCAGGTTACTAGCTTGACCTTTGGAGGTATTGACATGTACAAACTAGTTTATATCGCCACTGTGCTGTTAGATCTAGGTTAGCTGAGAGCTAACAATATCTTTTTATTCAAATTTCCAGGCTTTCTGGATAAGAAAAACACCTGTCTTTGGAAATAGAAAACAAAGATGAGGATAATAGTCTAAATTATTTATGAAATTCCATCTCAGAATTTGAGACAATAAGAAATTTTTTGTAACTTATCCCACTTGGCTTTGCTAAAGATGCTCGTTAGCTGACTTTTTTAATCTATAAAATGAAAAAGATTTCCTTCACATTTTCTTCACATATTTTGTGTTTCTTATATTTACGTGGACTGGCACGAGTCTACCAAATATTGTTTGCAGTATAAATGTACCGATCATGATCAGAAGTCCCATAACTCATAAAAACCATAAGGGAACCTCTTGCACTGCACATGTAGTAGAAATGGTGTATCTTAAGCAAAATAGCCTGATAAACCCCAGGCTAATTTGAATTCCGAATTTCCTTCTCTTAGAGCAGTTGCCTTCCAAGGCTATAGAATCTAGACTGTCCTGCTATTTACCCGTATATGGAGAGGGCAGAAGAAAGGTTAATAGCACATAAGTGAATGTAATGATCTTGACGGGATTTCAAACACCGCTCTCCAATTCCTCCGACATGCCTTCATATAAGAACTGTTAAATGCTGAAAATAGTACCAAGAACTGTTAAATGCTGAAAATAGTACCAAGAACTGTTAAATGCTGAAAAAAGTACCAAGAACTATTAAATGCTGAAAATAGTACCAATAACTCTTAAATGCTAAAAATAGTACCAAGAACTATTAAATGCTAAAAATAGTACCAAGAACTGTTAAATACTAAAAATAGTACCAATAACTGTTAAATACTAAAAATAGTACCAAGAACTGTTAAATGCTAAAAATAGTACCAAGAACTGTTAAATACTAAAAATAGTACCAAGAACTGTTAAATGCTGAAAATAGTACCAAGAACTATTAAATGCTAAAAATAGTACCAAGAACTATTAAATGTTAAAAATCCTCTAAACCTCAACAAAAGTGAGCATAACAGCAAAATCTTATCAAAGCAAGGGAACATTGTTTGATTTAACTTTGCTTTGACTGAGAGAAAAAATTAAAAACGTCCACTTACATGCCCAAGTAGTAAGTGCGTGTTGGCGATTTTCACTTGGGGTATAATTCCAGGTAAAGGAAATCCAGTTCTCCCTTTTGCTAGAAAATAAAACAGATTTTTATTTATTAAATTTATGCTAATATTCAAAGTCTTATGACTTTTTATAAGAATACAAATGAAAGGACTAAGAATAAACTACACAAAGACAGAATACATGGTTATAAGCAAATTACAAATTGGGGATTCTAAAATCAAACACGTACAGACATTTAAATATCTGGGAAATGATTGTAACAGGGTTGTTGTTGGGTATGTGTAAATCTAAGTTACACTGTTTTTATATGTATTTGCAATTGACAGAACAATCCTTTTCTCTTTTTTATACTGAAAATGAAATTAATAAAACATACAACAATAACAAACAACAATGAGACCTTAAGACGCATGTTGAAATTAATGACAAGAATATGTATTTTTCTTTTCATGATGTCAGTTACAATATTGGTATTGTGTGTGTCAAAAATGCTCTCAGAGTTATTATCTCTTTTGTTTCTTTAAAAGTTTGTGTTTATTTGTTTTTTCTTGTTTTGAGAATTTTCGTTGTTAAGGGTAGCGTTTGAGACCGACAACTGTGGTTTTTTACAGAGCAAAGAAGAGACGTCTGTGTCTGTGAACACAAAACGATCAGCTTTAAAAATGGACTCGTAACTGGAAAAACCGAAAGAAAAAAGAATGTTAACAACAAATACTTCTTCACACCCAAACCAGTTCTGCGGAATCACAATTAACTTTGAGCCAATTGGAGTAAAGTGCCAAGCAGATTTAATTTTTCCCCACTTGTGACAAATGCAGCAATCGTTTTTTTTTTTTTTTTTTTTGCATGCTAGCATGCTAGTTAAGATTCGTGTCAGACAGCAGTTGGCTCTCACGCTGGCCAATAGAATCTTCCTACCTATTCGTGGCAGCCAGCTATTGGCTCTCACTCTGGCCAGTAGAAAATGGCCGCAAACTACATGAAAACTACCTTAGAAACATGAAAAATCGATTATTTCCCCTATCGATGGGAGTTGGGAAATGCAACGTCGATCTTGGCCTTCCTGCTAACTTGGAGCATGCGCATGTAAATTTTGGTGCAAATCCGTCGAAAATTGCGGCCGTGCATTCGTTACACACGCACACACATCCTGTCTTTTATAGATAGAGATGTCACAAAAATGCTTTTACCAAATCAAGAACAAAAGTCCATATAAACATATATTCGTAAATTTTGATTTATTATGTTTAAAGTTTATGGTAGACACGGTTTAATGTACAATCCAAGATAGAATCCAAAGATATTTATACAAACTTTGGGGGTCAGTGACTGGCATCATCACTAGATAAAAATGTCCGTATAAACATATGTCCAAAAGGCCATCGCTGTACCTCAACACAGCAACTCATAACAAATATTCAAAATGTCCTTCGATTACTTCTACACATACATGCACTCGTCAGATCATTGACTGGTAGACTCTTTCAAATACTCCTACAAATGGTTTTGCAGACCCCCATGACACGTTGATAAAGCATCTCTGCATTATTAATACCTTCTGCATAAACCAAATGTTTTAAGTGAACCCACAGACAAAAGACCAAAGGACTGAGGTCAGACAAACATGCAGGCCATGGAACTAGTCCTCCCCTACCTATCCATCTTTCATGGTAAAAGTAAGCCAGTGCATCGTGAACAATGTGACTAAAATGGGCTGGAGTCTCATCATGCATGAACCACATGGGCTTTGTATTAGCAGGAGTACATCCTCTAGCAGGCCTCAAAGTGTGTTCGAAATAGTCCCTGTAGACAACTCTTTGTAAAACATGCTGGGAGAACATATGAACCTACTAGACAGTCACCCAGAATTCCAGCCCACACATTAATGGTAAACAGATGGTGGTATCTAGCCTGTATTGTACTATGGGGATTCTGCTCCTCCCGCAAATGTTGGTTGTGTAAATTTGTTCTTCATTCTCTTCTCAATGTTACTTCATTCATAAACAAGCCTGAAGAGACAAACAGATCGACATTTTGTGTAATAGACCATCAGCAAAATATACTCCATTGGTGATTGATCAGAAAGCAAAAGCCCCTTCACACAGTGCAAATAAGGATACAGAAGCTGCCCTTGAAGTACTTTCCAAGCATTACTATGAGATATATGACATGCTAGGGTCATCTCTGTTAGCCTGTAGAATATGCACTTCATGGTCAGGCATACTTTTGGGGTGCCACAGATCCTGTCTCAGCAATACTACAATAAAAATCAGCAAAAGTTTGAAAACTCGGATGCCTTCAGTTTGGAAAACGCAATCTGATACAGCCATGCAGCCTCACATCCATTACAATTTGTGCAGCTGTATGTAAAAATCATATCTGCCTGTTCACAATATGAATTTACTGTCATTGTTAAACGTAACACCTCTCAGTTAACTCACTAAAATACACATCAAACAAAGACAGACCAGTCACAATTGTACACAAATAACAAATGTAACCTAGTCTATATAGCAACACAGTAATATCTCCCATGAACTTTCTTTAAACTTAATAACTGAAAATGAAGGATTTGCGATATCTCTTCTTGCCCTCTTTCACTCATTTCTCTGCATAGACGCCAACATGTAAATCTCTCGTGGAAGATCACATGATCCGTCTTTTGGGACACACATGAACAATACATACAGACACGCACACGAACGTACTCACATTTGTTAGACATATTATTGTCTTTGTCATTTGTAACCCTTTGTTGTTAATATATTATCATTTGTTTGTACATATATATTGCTTCTAGTTGTTTCTTTTCATTTCTTTACGCGGACACATATCCCGAGCATGCCACGTTTGTTGAAGGCATTTTAGGAGACACACACGTTCATCTCTCAATGAATACACTGGCCCACAACAGACTTTTGTTCTTGTTTTGGTGTGAAGAACCCACCACCAAAGTTTTAAAAAGTATTTTTTGATAAACCCTATATATATATATATATATATATATATATATATATATATATATATATATGTGTGTGTGTGTGTGTGTGTGTGTGTGTGTGTGTATTGATATAATAGGAAAGGACTCTTAGATTGATGATTCGAACTTCTTTTTAGTATTTTTCTTTTATTTTTAAAAAACAGTGCTCGATACACAAATAGAACTTAAAATTATAATTATTTTCTTCACAAATATGATTCCATTGCAACACAGAAATTATTATATTTCAAAACTAATCACGCGTATTCAAGTTTAATTTCAATATTAAACCTTAACTTAATATATATATATATATATATTAAAATCATATTTATATTTATATATATATATATATATATATATATATATATATATTATAAATTAACTGATTTAAAATGTTTTTCGCTACACATTAGCAAACATGTTTCAAAAACTGAAGTTAAAAACTTCAAATTTAATTATATAATTAAATTAGAAGCATTAGTTCTGTTTCATCTTCAAGCGAATTTTTTTGAATTATATATATATATATATATATATATATATAATAAAAAATAAAAAAATTAAAATATATATTAATCAAAAAAAAAATTTAAATATATTTTAAAATAAAATTTAAATATATTTTAAAATAAAATTTAAATATATTTTTCTAAGCGGAAATTGCGAAACAAATGAAAGAAGTAAATATTTAAATGTCTGAAAGATCCAATAAAGTAATCCTAAACCTGCTTTCATAAAGGACATTCAATCAGTGGTTAACTGGGGCAAGAAATAATTGTAATAAAAACAAAACTGCTTTCATTTAATCACCATAAAAAAAAACTTTTTTGCATGGCTAATGCTAACCTCCAAACGAGGAAAATGCTGCACCTTCCTGCACACACATTTGCACTTAAAGTAGAGTGATTCACTGTTTAATGCCAGACATTTCTTTTTGTTAGAATCCATCTTGCACATTTATAAATCTACCATTCATTCCTGCATCGAAAATTGTTGCTATATCTGGTCTGGTGTTCTTGCAATTTATATCAAGAATCTTAACAAAATTCAAAGAAGGGCCTGTGTAACAGAGAGAGAGAGAGTCCGGGAAACACACACACACGTATATTATTTTTTTATTCAAATTGGAGTAGATTTGAATAGCAAAATTAAATAAGAGCATTTTGTTTACTGATGGGGAAATCTGATCTAGGGCAGAAGTTGTACCCATTGAATCTGCGTCATCAGCAGACAATGGAAATGGTCGAAATAATTTTATCTATTAAAAATTGAAATAGAGCTGAGTAAGCTAGAAGGAACTTTGGAATTCAGATGATTTTGGTTGAAGTAGCCAGAACCCCGTGATAATCGCGCGCGAAGTAGTAGGGCCGATGGTCAGTTATAATTAGCCGGGTTTATCTATATAAATGCGTAGTTATGCTAAAAATGTGAGACTGGAGAAAATTCTTGAAGAGAGAAGAGAGAATTGGCCCAGCAAGCGTTGGGAGGAGGAACGCCACTATAACTTTAAGCCCCGCACAGAAATCTTTATCCCGCCATCGCAAGAGTTATATAACATTCTGAGACAATTTAACAACAAGTAAATCACATACACTCTCTGTCTAGAATCCAGTGTATGAGTTTTTACGTTAAATACTTTTCTTTTCTGTAACCCGTTTCTTTTCTCTACTATTTTTTTCTGCTATATAAAAGATATTAACAAGTCAACCATTGAATAGTCGTTTGTCCAGCTTTCTGCAGATATTAATTTATTTTTTTGCTGCATTCTAAATTTCATAGCACAGACTCCCCAGCCGTGTCTACATCTTCAGTCGACCGTGAATGGACGGACATCACTTCTACTTTCTGGATCAAACAAATCACAACGTGGGCAGGAAACAGGATTAAACCAGTGGACTAGTCGAATAATCTATGGATGCTCAGAGGAACTATGGCCACTCCCTTAAGTTCGGTTAGGACCGAGTAGACACCTCAACCCAGAGAGTAAGACGCCGGAGGTTGAGGGCCTGGGGCGAAAGTGTTGGATTTGTAATGTAATCGATCTTGACCTACAGTCACTTTCTTAACGATGCAACATGGCTTCCCTCTGTCTTTTCTATGCATATTTTCATGGTTACTGTTCTGGTGAGCTTTCTCCTTCATTTTTTCTTTTCTCCTCTCTTCTCCTCAGTAAAGTCTTTTCTTTTTCTTTCATTGCCTATAAGTTCCTGTATCCTTTTTTTAAAGAATTTCATCCCAAGCTAGGCGGGAGTGCCACTAACATGCAAGGGGTTACAGAGAGCGAGAACAAGAGTAAAGAGGCATATTTGAGGAACAATCTCAAGGCATTATATGTCGATTGACATTACATTTGAATATTTCAAGATTATAGCTATCAGGGAAGCAAGTAAGGGGAAGGGAGTTGCACAGAGGAGAAGAGACGGTTACATTTAATCGCTTCAACAGTGAAAGGGTTGAATCGAGATGCGAATCTAGTAGTACATTTAAATTAGTACATTTAAATTCATGAAGTTTGGGAACCAGCGAAAGTAGCTTGTCTGAGCAGTTGTCATGAAAATACTTGTAAAAAAGACAGAAGGAAGCCACAGCACATCTGTGAGAAAGTGACTGTAGACAAAATGTAAGATCAGGACCTATTACATTGCATTGTCTCTGGATTTTGTTGAGGACCTGGAGATGAACAGCTGGGACACCAGACCATATATGGCAGCAGTATTCCATGCAAGGACGAATGATTGATTTATAGATTTGAAGAACGGACTCAGGCAAAAAACAAAAAAAAAACAAAAAAAAAAAAAACAGTGGCATTATTTCCTTGCTTGAGGTTAAAAGAAAGCAACAAAATAATCAATTCCACTGCAAGCCACTTACCATTAATCCAAGGTATAACAAAAGCATTGATCCCAAAGTTAATTGTGTGTTGCAGCTGCGCCACCTGAAATGAAAAGAAGCAGGTAACAAACGGTTGAAACATGCTTCCTATAATGACATTGATAACCAAAAATACATGAAAAATCATTTAAGTCTCTAGCACTGAACCTACCTCGTAAATATCAGCTCTCACTGCCATAACCCACCCCATGTATACTCTGCCATAATATATGATGTTATTATCGCAAATGATACCTGATGATACCTGACGTCAGGCAAACAGTGAAACTTTGACCTCAAAATTTGACTCTTTGGGAGCCGATATTTATGGGGTTTGTGCATGGCGAATTCTAATGGGTTATTAATTTACAATTCCTTATTTAAAAACAATAGATTCATTTATCGCCCAGTTTATACTCCTCCCCAGTCTTTTGAATAGGGGTAGAGATTTAAACCATGTTTACTGTGTAGGATTGGGTTTCTGTTTCCTTCTGAATTCTCCTTCAGCTCTATAATCCTAACACTTGTTTTTACTTATTTTTAATCCACACAGTAACAATCAACCTTGAGTGTCTCTTGGGCCTTGTATTGGGTGAACATTAGTAAAAAAAATCAATCAAAAGTATCAAATAAAGATTTGAATATAGTCAGAAGACTAAATATTACGAGAAACGTGCAATGGATTTTAAAAGATTCCACTAATATAACCAATTCCTGAAATTGGTATATTGTTATAAATATTGGTTAAACATTGTTTCAATCACGAAATGGTTGTCGTGAAATCTGTATACAATGGTTTAGTGGGAATGAAAAGAAACAGCATCACAGGGATAAAAAGTAACATAACATAAAAAAATGTATGCCTGATGATGGCTGGAGAGAGGTATTTCAATTGATCAAAATAACTGACAATTCCTCATTTCAATAATGAGACAAATTTGTTAATATGTTTGAAATGTTTGGATAGCCTTTAGGAAAGGCATTATTCCATCTATTTACCCCCAGTTATGGATCAAATAACAAAATAGACTGAACTCTCACACCCCTAATTGCTGCCACTCTAGATTAAGAGCAACTTTGTACAATAAAAAACTATTGAAAAGACAATGTGATACTCCACAATATCTCACAAGAAGTCATGGAAATTCACAGACAATAAAGAAAAAAGCCATATTTGCCTAAGTCTTGAAGTAAAAGAAATTAAGTAAGTGTTTGCGATGTACTGATGCCATACAGATACTTATATACTATTCCGATTTCTGATTTGATCCTGTAACAGTGGTGGGAATAAAAATTGATTAGGTCATTCTTGTTGGTAGCTCAAACAGAAGTACGTTATTATTTCTATGCAACATGACATCTAGAAAGGGTAAAGTGTTGTTAGACTCAAGTTCAAAGTTACGCTCTATTGTTGGTTTACTGTTATTTAGTTTGTTGACAAGATCATGTAAAATTATCTATTGTGGATATATTAGTAAAGAATCATCTATGTATCTGAAATAAGAAGAATTTTATAGTAAAATATTTTAAAAGGACCTCTTTTCAGAAATTCCAAAAACAGTTTGACATGTTTTCTTTGATTTTAATCAAGGTCATAAAGCTGATTGAGACATTTGTGCTTTGTACAGATATGATTTCATTACCGAGATAATGATATGAAATGCTTCAAAACAACCAAATGGTCAATGTTTAAGTTGTATTTTGAGCAAACGAACAGGCTCAAAGAGAAAATTCATCTGAAAAAAAACCTGACCGACGATACAATGTAATTATCCAACAATTAGTATTGGTTAAACATTGTTTCAATCACCAAATGGTTGTCGTGAAATCTGTTACAATGGTTCAGCGGGAATGAAAAGAAACAGGATCCCAAGGATAAAAAGTATTATAACATTAACAAAAAAATAATGGACACCTGATGGTAGCTGGAGAAGTGTATTTCAATTGATCAAAATAACTGACAACTCCTCATCTCAAAAATGAGACAGATTTGGCAATATGTGTGATATGTTCAGATAGCATAATGGTTATAAGCAGGGCAAGTGGAACCAGTGACCCAAGTTCAAGTTCCAGTTTGATTCAATCTGCTTGGTTTCATTCACTTCACACTAATGCATTTAGAAAAGGTCTCTACATTGTTAACACAATCAAACATGCAAATAAGGAGCTTGGTTGGGAAATTCTACCACACACACCAAAGGAGAATATTCACCTTCTGATTACCACTATTTTTGATCCCATTCTAACAATTTGAGGGATGTTTTGTTCAACAACGATGTGGAGTTTAAAATGTGGTGTGATTCATTTTTCAAGAAACCTTGTGATTTCTACTGTCGAGGCATGGAACGATTAGTGGATTGTTGGCAGGAGGTTATAAAAAATTAAGAGGAATACATTTTTAAATGATTCATCAGAACTACTAATAAATAATAAGTATGAAAATAAATGATAAAAACAAATAAATTTAGATAACAACCTAACACTTCACTCATCTATAGGGGATATAGTAGTGTATACTGGGCTCTCCAGCTTTGGGTGGTAATATTCTAAAACAGTGGTTCTTAATCTGTGTTCAATCAAACACTAAGGTTTTGGTGAGTCATACTCAGGGGTTCTGCTGAGGTCTAGACCTGTCAAGGATGAATGCTTCGATGAAATCATTGGACAGAAACAGATTCAATAGCAACACTTCTGAACAACAACACTTAACGTTCTAGTGTCACCATATTGTAGTGTGCCATCTTATTGCTAAGAAAGCCCTTGAGATACTCATTCTGTTTGTTACAATGTATCTTTGTGAGCATAAAACGAAAACGAATAGATTTTGTTGTGAAAATGATGTGAGACTGACACTTGCCAATGTGAAGCCGTGCATTTCTGAACTTGTCTCTCAAAGGCAACAGCAAATGCCACATTGACTTGCAGTAAATATTCATTGATTTATGTTTTTGCTTTTGTGTGAAAGTCATGTTTTCTTTGTTTTGTTCTTTGAACAGAGTAATTTTCTGTTCAATTGAGTCATGGTTCATTCATACACAAATAAAATATAGACCTATGCTTTGAAGAATTCATATTTTATTTTTCCAATTACGAAGGGTTCGGTGGATGCGCGGGTGAAACTTTCGGAATTCAGTACCTATAAAAAATGAAGAACCACTATTCTAAGAGAAAGAACCTTTTGAATTCAAAACTATTTAGAAGGCAACAAAAAACCAGAAACCACTTTCCAAAGATATTATGGCAATTTACAGATATTAAAGAAAAATATATGTCTATATTTCTGAGATGAGGAATTATGTAAACTATTTACATTATTTGGTCTATTGTCCTCATCTTTTTCGCCATATTTATTACAACGTTTCGGCCTTTGTACGCTCCAGCCTTCTTCAGGTATTTGGAATGTCGAACTGAACCCTTTATTTCGCTCACTGGGGTAGAGTGTTCTAGTTCCATATGCCATGTTTAATGGATGTCAGTTATCAGTTATCTCCTGTTAATTCCTCAAGGATACATGGCACAGTGGATAAAGGTGTTGGTTAGATCCATTGACAGGACCCAAAGAGTACGAGTTCAATACCAGGTTAAGGCAGTGGGGAACTTGGAGAGGCGAAATAACAGGAGATAACTGATAAGTGACATCCATTAAACATGGCACATGGAACTAGAACAGTCTACCCCAGTTGGCGAAATAAAGGGTTTCAGTTCGACATTCCAAATACCTGAAGAAGGCTGGAGCGTACAAAGGCCGAAACGTTGTAATAAATATGGCGAAAAAGATGAGGACAATAGCCTGAATAATGTAAATAGTATAAAGAAAAGTAATTTGTGGAGAGATATGATCGTTTACGTCCTGATGAATTATAGAGTTCAAACTTTTAAAAAATATAAAGAAATATGTTTGACCACAAGTCATATTCTTCTTTCTCTGGGAAATAATCTAGTAGTGCAATAAATCTTTGATTCTGGTTACATTTGAGAGGAAGGACTTTAATCATAGCAATAATTGGAAACTTACAAAAATCGTATCTTTTATATTACTTCTGAAACATTGCTTCTTGTAGGATCACCAGGTTATGCAATGTCAAGCCTGTTCAGTTCCTATACAGGTAACATCTTGGGAATACCAGGTGCTGTAAACTTAGATGTGCGGGTGGTGTAATGGATAATGGCTCGGAATTGGAAATCAGAGAGCCAGGTTCCAATTCCACTTCTCTCCCGCCAGGTATAAATCAATTACTAGGACTTGTATCCTTAAATAATTATTATCTCAAAACAAAATTCTTACAATCTAGAAATATTTTCTATCTTTAAAATAACATGTAAAAGGTTGATAAGCCTTAAAATAGGAAAAACAGTGTTAAGCTTACGTCGATTTTAAGTGGTATAACTTTTTTCACTAATCCCAAATCCAACCTGCAAAGAAAAAAAAAGTTTGTTATTTATGAAAATAAAAGTAATTGTTATGGATTTATCAGTTTTATAAAACGTACAAAATTCAAGCTAAGTGTGGCACAAGGTCATACATATGAAGCAACAAATGCAAATCAAATTTAAGGCAAAGGATCTATAGAATGTAATTATCTAAACGGATATACTTGGTCGATCATGTCGAATGCAGAACTTTCTAGATTATCAGGCATCTTGGGAAAAGGGTTGAACAAATATGTCCGGATAATTCACAATAATAGAATACCTAGATTATGAAGAATGCATGAAGAATAAAATTCTTTTATAAAAGATATTTCTTGCTTGTATCAGTCCATAATTCTGAGATGAGGTATTATGTACACTATTTACATTATTCGGACTATTGTCCTCATCTTTTTAGCCATATTTATTACAACGTTTCGGCCGTTGTATGCTCCAGCCTTCTTCAGGTGGTTGGAATGTCAAACTGAACCCTTTATTTCGCTTGCTGGGGTAGACTGTTCTAGTTCCACATGTCATGTTTAATGGATCTCAGTTGTCAGTTATCTTCTGTTAATTCCCCTCTCCAAGTTCTCCACTGCTTTAACTTCCTTAACAGTGACAGGACCCAAAGAGTGTGAGTTCAATCACCGGTTAAGGCAGTGGAGAATTTCGAGAAAGGGATTATTTATCCTCAGCATCCTTCTGCATAATCACATTTCTATTGTTTCAAGGCTCTTATTCATCTTTGATGAAATTGTTCATCATTCACTGCTATATAGGAGAGAAGATACCATATAGTAGTTCAATACACCTTTCATTGTTTTTAACAAAGTTTTTTTCTGTTTCTTAATACTCTGCTTAGCTTTTGGAAGGCATCTTTCGCTATCCCAATCCGCCTTCAGATTTCAGAGTTGCACTTTCCGCCCTCTGTTAAAACACTTCCCAGATATTTTGTACTTGTTTGATTTTAGTATCTCTGATGTGCAATCTGCATTTTGGGGTCATCCTTTTGCTAACAACAATGCATTCTGTCTTCTTGCAGTTGATGTTTTGTCTGTTTTTTTCCCACTTTTCCTTCACTGCATTCTGTAGGAATAATTGTACCTTTTCTTTATGTGGCATCAGCCTATCTAATGTAGTAAAGATTTTTGTGGGTGTCAATAATAAGTCCTCGTAGGGTTTCTAATTTTCTCAGAATCATCTCGCTGTAGAGGTTGAATAAGTATAGTGGGAAGACACGTCCTTGTCTTAGACCTCTTTCCAATTTCTGTATGTCCGCTGAACTCATTTTCTATCCATATACAGGTTTGCTACCAGTATGGGTCCTTGATTATATATTTCTTTTACATACAACAAAAGTTGCAGAGTACATTCATCTCAAAACATAACTTTACTCCAGTTTGGATCTGTCCCGGAATCAAGTACCAGGCGCCTGGATTTGATTGTTGCAGTTAGCCTTGGTTGATGAATTGTTCTGAATGATTTCAGACCAAACTCGAATCTCAAATGTGTGGGAAAATGAAATAAAATCAGTAAAAAAAAGAATAAGAATAAAAAAAAAGAAATACATTTTCCCATGATGCTATTAATAAAAGGAAACGGAAATAGTTTTTGGTCATCTACGCAATTTTATGATCCCACTTATGGAAAGGAAAGGACCTTTCTCTTTCTAGTTTCCAAAATAAAGCATTCAGAATCTTTTACAGCTCTACCTATGAAGTACTTTGGTCGTCCCAACTGAGGGTAAAGCTGACTCAACTAATATAACCATTTTGCTGCTAACTTAGCCTAACATAGTTCTGAACCAGGAAAAGAAAACAGACACACCCAAGAGATATTGAGAACTTTGTTTTCTTACAGTTTCTACAAACAAATAAAGAATTAACTGTCCGTAGTAGAAACCAAAGATTTTCTTGCTTCTACATTATTTATGTATAAACACATTCACACCTAAAATACACCAACGTACAAACATTAAATTCTAAAAATGGTGAGCTAATATGAAACTGTCATAGAGCTGATATTTGTAGCATTAACATGTTCTCTTCTTGCAAGAACTTGTTAGAGATCTTGTAGCAGTGCACCATTTCAAACTAGAATTTTTTGCAACACGCTCATGCATAGTGACCTCCTCACAATATTTAGTATTGTTAAAGTTATCACTAATATTTTGTCAAGATTTACAATCTCTAACTTTCATTCAATTTCACAAACTAGTCGATGCAATTTGAATAAGCTTATTTTTTTGGAAAAATACTTTGACAAAAACCCTACTTCATGGTTTAATAATTTCTTTAATTTAATCTTATAGGACTTCATGGTAAACAATATTTTTGAAGAAAATTTCTTTTTTTTTTCTTTTTAACAGTGAAGAATAAATTCTTAGGATTATGAATGCAAATTAGTTTCTCTCTCTCCCTCACTCATTTTCTCTCTCTTTCTCTTTCTCTCTCTCTCTCTCTCTCTCTCTCTATCTATCTATCTATCTATCTATCTATATATATATATATATCCTCCTCGGGTCTACCCATATGGATTACCTAAGTTTGCATAAACTAAATATCTATCTATCTATCTATCTATCTATATATATATATATATATATATATATATATATATATATACAGGGTGACCATAAAGTTTGTGTGGACTTTAAAAAATTTATAACTTTATTTGCATTTGCGATAGAAATAATTTGTAAAAACGATTGGAAAGAAGTAAGGTTTTATTGAAATTTTATTTAAGTTTCCACATGTCCTCCTTCATTAGCAATACAAAGGGTAATACGATTTTACAGTTCACGGAAAACATTTGCCAACTGATTTACAGTAATGCCTGAAATCACATTAGTTATTTTTGCTATACTTAAAACTAGGTACATTAAACTTTATAACATTTTTTACAGATTATTTCTATCGCAATTACAAATAAAGATACAAACTTTATGGAGACCCTGTATAAACAGCAAAGATTATTAACATCCTGATAATCAAAATCAGGAAAATTAGGAAATGGATAATAAGAGAATATTGTATAATTATTTAAATGACACACATATTAAGAAATTTGTTTTTAAACTGATAAATGAGTCTGTTAAAAGACTTCCCAGAAAGTGCAACATTGAAATCCAAGGTGTATTTCTGAATAGGAAAATGTATGAGGTCAGTCTGAAAAGTAATGGAATTAATCAGAGGTATCATCCACAGTAAGTTTTTGCCACGGGGTCAGATGATCAATCAACAAGTCTACAAAGAGATCCTGCTGTGTTGTTTTGCTCAAAACATGAAAAGAGATGAGTTTTGGCAGGCCAAATCGTGGCTGCTTCATCATGACAATTTCACAAATCCCTGAGCATCCGGCAAAACCTGGCCAAGAAGAAAATCACCGTACTGGAACAACCTCCCTACTCACCTGATCTCGCTCCATGTGACTTTTTCCCAAGCTCAACGGAATCATCAAGGAGACCCGTTTTGAAGTTGTGAAGGCCATCAAGTGGGCCGTAATGACTGAACTGAAGTCCATCCAAGAAAACAATTCTTCCAGCAGTATATAAGCTTGGTAGAGAAGGATAGAAAAGTGCATTAGACCCGAGGAGGATTACTTTGGAGGTGAAACCATGTAGTTTGTTGCTTGGAATTAAAATAAATTGTTTGTGACATCAGTCGCATTACTTTTCAAACAGACCTTGTAACATAATGATAATTCTTCATCTGGAAAGAATTACTTACTTCAGTTCAGAAATATTGTAGTGGACAATTTGCTTCTCAATGCTAGCAGCAGAAACTGTGTGAATTTTCTGGAAAAAAATATGATGAAATCCATAAAAAAGAAAACTGTTAAACACAGGTCAATTCAATTTACAAGTTTTTATTTGTTTATTGGTTTACCCATACCATTAAGAAATGGAAGCCATCTTTTTTTTTTAAATCGTCTCACCCCGAGCAAAGCAATAAAGCCACAAACTGTAAATGATTACTGAGTGTTAAAGAATATTAGAAACTAAATTATTAAGGAGAGAGAACAATAAAGAACAAGAATTAAAATTAAGAAGGCAGGAGATAATTATTAACACTTTTAAAGATCAAAGTTCACCGGGAAGCAAGAAACCAGAATAGAGTTCCACAACAAGAAGTGCGATAAAATTATCTGTTAGTATAGAATTTAGTTTTTAATTTTGCATTTGCTTTGTTATATTTTCTGCCTAAGTAATTTTGCATTTTATCGACACAATTAATTATTATCACATATAAGAAAGAATCCAGTCTTTATTAAAAACAAAAATATCTAAAGAAAAATAGCTCAAAGTATTTACATATTACTATATAAGTTTGGTTGTGTATGGCCATAACACCAAAGTTAAGCAACACTGAGTCTGGTCAGTACCTAGATGAAAGACCACTTGGAATACCTAGCCCCTACCAACACGCACTGGGTCAGTACAGTAGAGAACTAGCCGATTTCACCCCAATAACGACAAAGAGAAAGATGTAGAAAAAGTCTACTTCCAGCAAAGGATAATCACAAGCTGATTAAAAATGTTTGCATTGTAGTGGCTTTATTGCCTTGCTTGGAGTAAAATTATTAGAAACTGAAAAACATAATTCTGATTATTTTTTCTGTATTTCAAAATATTTTCTGCTTTTTAGAGAAAGTTTTTTTTTTAATTATGTCACCCCCTGAAAGGTGATATTGTTTCTAAGATTCAAGAGAATAGAAAAACATTATTGAGGAGAAAAACAAGAAAAGAACATGATTTTAGCAGACAGAAAATGGTGATTGACATTGCATTTAAATTTTTGAAAAGCATAGGTGGCAGGTAAATAAAAAACTGGAAGAGAGTTCCTCAGGTGAGAAGTGTGAGAAAAGTAAGTATTAGAATAGAATTTGTAATAACAACTATTTCAAAAGTAAAATAAATAAAGAGATCTAATTATCAATTTAGTACTAAAGTTAAATTCACGCAGTCAATGTACCAAAGTTGAAAACTCATTTGAACAATTGCCATGAAAATATTTGTAGAAAATAACACAGGGAAGTCATGTCATGGTGGTGGGAAAGTGACTCAAGTCAAGATGCCAGGTCAGAACCAATAATATTCCAGATCATTCTTTGGATTTTGTTAAGAACCTCGAGACTGGATATGGCAGCAATATTTAATGCAAGGACAAATGGTAGATTTCTAAATGTGAAAGACAGATTTTGACAAGAAAATTGTCAACGGCTTTTGACAAAAATGTAAACAAAATCAAAGAAAATTGTCCCGAATACAGAAAAAAATCAGCAGAAAATCTTTAACGAATAATTTTGTTGGTCTTTCACCAGACATGTATAAATGAAAAGTTGCTGCCTAAATACATGCAATATTAGTATATATGATACATTCATACGTTTAACCATGTCATAAAAGTGACATCTGTGTGGATATTTCTCTGAACACTTGAAACTCGTGGCGAATTCCGCTTTGGCGGATTTCGCCCAGTTTTGAAAAATAAGGATCGTTTCTCGGCCTTTGGCTGAGATTCGATCACGGCTACAACCGATTTCGGCCCGGACTAGCTAAGACAAGCCATGACCAGCTTTAACTAAGCTCTGATCAGCTTGGACATGACCAGTTTTGGACCAGTGGCCCTTGAGTGGAAACGCTCGGGTCTCCCACGTTAAACGACCTTGTGTCACATCCTGACCCCGTGGGAGTCAAGTAAATATCACTTCTCTGAACACTACAACCTGACCCTCTTCAAATCAAGGCTCAGCCATTATCTCTCCTCCTCATCCCCATAAGTTTCACTTCCTAGTGCATCTTTCATTCATATGACACAATTCAAATGCTTATACATCCTTGTGCAAATTAATTATACAGGAAGATATGGAGGGACATGATCCCCTACACCTATGTGCAAATTACTTTTTTCTTATTTTTCCAGTGAAACATGACCCAGTGCATATGTTAGTACTTCGTATGTCCATTATACGAAGTTCTTCCTTACAGATTGAACACAGATTCTTGATTGGATTTAAGTCAGAAGAGTTCTCGGGGAAGTCCGTAGCACTGATTTTCTCACTGGTAAGGCTTTCCAGTGTGTTCATGCAGTATTAAAATTTTCGTACGCTTACTTGAAGTAATGCCCATCGCAGACAATAGCCACAGGACAACTAATCAATAGTTAAGACAATAGTGTCTGGGCGTGATGAAAATCTGATGCAATCATGGATGGCACAATATTTTTCAAGGCCAAACAAATATCATTATACATCCCAAAAATAGATTCATATGACTTTACTTTTTTCTTATTTTTCCAGTGAAACATGACCCAGTGCATGTGTTAGTACTTCGTATGCACACCACTGCAAACAACCTAAGCTGAGGAAAAATAGAAATCGATTATACACTGTTACTCCAGTGGGTCTAAAACTGACCGTATAGTGAAAGAAAGGAAATTAAAGTGGTGGTTCCAATTAATTTGCACAAGGGTGTAGGTAATATAAACATTAAATGTTACAAAACTAATTATTCAACGTTTTATAAATGAAATAAACAGAGGGGGTAATAGATATAAACATGAAAATATACTTATGAAGATTTTCTAAAAAGAAACGTTTGTAAAATAATTTCATTCATTCGTAAATAAATTCTGAAAATTTCATTAAATTTTAACAGCATGATTTTTGAAAAAAATTCTAAATCTATGTTTTTAACCAGAAAAAAAAAAATGCTCAAAATGGCAATATTAATTTGTGGTGCCCTTTTGAAAGAAAAACAAAATTTTTAACCAGAGTTCTAGAAAGGATTAAAAAAATTGATTTAATAATAAAAAATCCAAAGATTTTACACCATTTACATTATCCTCATTGTCTTCATCTTTGTCACTATTTTATTACCACGTTTCGGCCGTTGTACCCTCCGGATTTCCTCAGGTGGTTGGAATTTCAAACTGAACCCTTTATTTCACTCACTGGGGTAGACTGTTCTAGTTCCACGTGTCATGTTTAATGGATGTCAGTTATCCCCTCCACTGCTTTGACTGGGTATTGAACTCACACTCTTTGGGTCCTGTCACTGGATCTAACTAATGCCTTTATCCACTGTGTCATGTGACCTTGAGGACATCTGTGTATGAATTTCTAGGTATTATAAACCTAATGTCTTCAGCAACCATTTTTGGAGTGCTCATATTGTCATTTTTGCTGTTATTATACATGTTTTTACTAGAGCTCATATTGCAATTTTTGTTGTTATTATCGCTTTTCTCTGGCACTCCTTATTTCTGGTTTCCATATTGTATTCATTTCTATGCTTGATCAGCTCAGGAGATTTTTGTGACAGATAACAAAGATTTTAACTTTAAAACTTAGTTATTATTAAGTAATTTTTTCATCATGGTACGTTCACAGTTTTAGTAAATCTTAGATGTACCTAATAAAGACTAACCATTTTCCCTTTTCTCCAAGCCTTTAAGAAAACGAAAACAAATGACAAAGGTACTCACCACTGGAATGATAAGAAGCGGTTTGTTTGGACTGTCAGTTGAAAGGTAAATCGTAAGAGTAATGGTACCATCCAAAGTAAAGACACCATTTACAACATTGGGTTCTGGCATTTCTGTTGCTTCTATGAAGATGGACACTTCTTGGTTAGGATATTTCTCTCCCAACTAAAAGAAAAAGGACATACTATTATATAAATAGTGGATCAGAATAAAAAATCAGAGACCAGAGTTCAAATTCCACTAGGGTCTGTTACATTCACTTGGGAAAGGTAAGATTCCATCTCTTCTTCCTCTCAGCTAAGGGTTAAATAAATAGTAGGGTAAACTGAGCTCTTTAGCTTTGGTTAGCAAAAGGAAAGCTCTGAATTCCTAAATCAGGTTACATGGAACAATCACCCAACCCCATGGAGCAATTTGTTTATCGGAATCTCTCCGTGAAGCACTAGGCAGATTACAAACATGCAACAAGGCAATCATTTTACGTGAAGATGGATTTAACTGAATATCCAATTTGAAAAATCTTTTAGCATTTAGGGAATTTTGCTACTAATTTTTTCGATCTGAATCAACAAATATGCGACTAATCAAGTTTTAACACATTGAAATGACGTCAGTTCAGAATAAAAGAGAAAAGGTTGGCAGTCTTCTCGCCCTAGCAGAAAATAAAGAAAGGCTTAATTATAGACTCTGACAAGACAAAGAACAGATTGGAAATGTTTATCAATTTAACATGTTTCACTTTTATTCAAGCATCACCAGAGAATGAGATATGGAGAAAAAGAAGAAATACATTCTAGTTTTTTTTTTATTTTTGTATTGTATAATTTCTATTGGTTAATCAGTCTTCACATGCATTCAACTTGTTGAACATTAGTATAATTTATGGCATCCCAAATTCAAGGAGAGACGTGTCCCTTTGAAGCTCCAAGAAATTGACAGATTCCAAGGCCAAATGAAAAACCTTAAATATTGCTTTTTGTAATTAAGAGTATAATAATTCTAGTATGTCTATATAGGATTCAGATGATAATGTTTGTGTGTGTGTGTGCGTGCGTGCGTGTGCTTGTGTAGTATATCTTATATTTGTTGGTTTCTCACATATTAATATAGGAATGATTTTACATATATGCCATTTGTTTTAGCTGAATATACATTAGATTCTTTAAAAATGGATTCAATAAAGTTTGGTATTGTAATATATTTTTGATGTCTGTTTATAGTTGGTAGTATATGTATTAGTAATCCCTCAAAATATTTTCAACATAAAAAATATGCTCTTTTATAATTAGGATGGCATTTGTAAAATCAAAGTTATGGCTAGTTTTATTCCTTTGTATTACAAGCGAGTTTAAATGGTTGTCTTCACATGCATTCAACTTGTTGAACATTAGTATAATTTATGGCATCCCAAATTCAAGGAGAGACGTGTCCCTTTGAAGCCCCAAGAAATTGACAGATTCCAAGGCCAAATGAAAAACCTTAAATATTGCTTTTTGTAATTAAGAGTATAATAATTCTAGTATGTCTATATAGGATTCAGATGATAATGTTTTGTGTGTGTGTGTGTGTGTGTGTGTGTGTGTGTGTGTGTGTGTGTGTGTGTGTGTGTGTGTGTATGAATATCCATGACAGGATTAGCAAAGTGACCGTGGTACATAAAGCAGAAATGTTTTTGCTATCAGTATATTCATTTAGGATGTGTCAAAAGTTGTTTTGTTCACTTGCATGCAAATAATGCTTGGAAAAGAATAAATCCATCACCTGCCCACAATAGCCTGACATTTATTTGGAAAAATCAAAGTTGTTCTCAAAGATATCATCAGTTTAATATTCACTTGAAAAAAAAGACATAAGAATTATTCTTACAATACAAAATATATTTCAGTTTTAAATAGCCTACAGATGATTAACAAAACATAGTGCACATCTCTCCACATCTGTGCTTGTATATATGCAGAATATAGTCTAGGAAGAGATATTAAATCGATTAGGGTTCTCATTTCCTACTTGGTGTACTCTTGATGAGGTCTCAAAGGATTCAGTATTGAGGTCTTCACCACACATACAATTTTGTGGACAGATATAGTTCTTCACTTCGATCTAGACATGCTCTTGGAAGTAGATCAGTTTGGGTCATACTATCAAATGATCAGTCCCCAACTTTTAATATCTGTGTTTGTATGTGTGCAGATCATATTACAGGACAGGGGTAGACAACTCTACACATGTGTGCTAAACATGTTACGTCTTTGACTTGTTTCTGGCATGCAAATCTTATTCGTTAGATTCCATTTATTTTTTTATTCTTTATCCTCTTTTATTGAAAAAGAGGGAATAAAAGAATAATATATATATATATATATATATATATATATATATATATATATATATATTAAGAATTTCACCTTTAGCAAGGCGGGAAGCTACTAACACGCAAGGGGTTATAGAGGATTTGGAGCGACAGCAGATAGGAATGATAGAGGAAAGGATGAGGAGAAGGATAGTGGATAGATCAAGGCAACTGGAGATGTCAATTGACATTACATTTGAATATTTGGAGATTATAGCTATCAGGGAAACAGGAATAGGAAAGGGAGTTCCACATGTGTGAGGTGCGAGATATGAAGCTATTGGAGCAGAAGGGCGGCTAAATTTAACAGTTTCAACAGTGAAAGGGTGAGAGCGGAATTGCCAGCCTCGTAGGACGCTTGAATTCGCGAAGTATAGGAACCAGCGAAAGCAGCTATTACCATGGAAATGTTTGTGAAAAAATACAGAGAGATAAAAGATGAAGAATAATTTTCTCTTGGAAAGGTGGAACATAGTAAGAGGAGTTAGGTACTTTCTGGTGCGGTACAATGAAGCAACCATCATCTTTAGCGATTGAAAGAATATAGTTCGACTTGGGATCTGGAGTGAGATTTAATCCTAATAACAGAAAACTAAGATTTCATAAGATTGGGGTTATCTGCTTGACACATGGAAGAGAGTACGTTTGAGCCTTGCCGAGACATCACAAATAAAATCGTAAAATGAAATCATTTCTCAGATCAAACCATCCCTACTCATTTTGAAATTGTTAAAGTTATGGCAAGTTCATTAAAATTATTATTTTGTCATTATAGTCTAGCCTACACTTTCTGTAACATCTTGTTCTTTAACCTCAGCTCAACGGTGATCTCCCTTTCTCCTGTAGCAGGGGTGATCAACCCTTGGCATGCGTGCCAAACATGTCATGCCGATGACTTGTTTCTGGCATGCAAAACTTATTCATTACATTTCATTTGACTTTTATTCTTTATCCTCTTTCAGATATATCATTATCACATGTATTTTGATTTGCTGCGCTTTACAGATTGGGCAGAATGTCATGATCATCAGCTAAGAAACAATGTCATTCTAATGAAGAGGATATTAGAGAATTTAAAGAATACTAGACGGAAAAAAATTTGCATTATTAAGAAAGGCAATAAAGCCTTAAGCATTTTCTGCTTGGAGAAAATCTATTGTAAGACTTCTTCTGTAAAGAGACATTTTAAAAATGTTCATAAGAACTTAAGCAATAAAGATGAAGAGAAAAAGGAGAATTAATTTCTCGTGAACTGAGCAAGACAAAAAAAAACAGGCTGATAATTTTATGAACTTTATTTCAGGTATACCCATGTCCAACTTAGTTGCAGCTCGTTTTGACGTTTCAAAAAATTTTTGTTGGCATGTGGAAAAATTTTGTGTCAGGTACATGGCCGGTTTTGGCACTCATTCTCAAAATGGTTGCCCACCCCTGCTATGGGAATAGATTAAAGAGATTTAGGTCCTTATATCTCTCTTGTTGTACTCCTGATGAAGTTCGAAACCAATACGTAAATTAATTTTCATAAAAAATGTATACATGTAACTATAAATTTTTAAACGCATTCTGCTATCATGAAATAAAAAAAAATATTTTGATTTATCTAAACTAACCGAGTCTTGATATGTTTCTTCTTAATTGGTTCAAATCTTTTATCAGATTCTTTCTAAAAATTCAATTCCTTACGAGTGGGTGCTTTCATCAAATATAAAAACAGAAGCTCAACTTACCGCAGGAATCAGCTTCCCAATACACATACTTTGACATGTTGTATTCAGTAATCCAGCCTTTGGAATCTGTCATAGGAATTAAAATATACCTTAATAATCAGTGCCGACATAAAAAACAAAACTTATTAGGACATTTCAAATTATATATATAAATTTATACACAGATGATTTAAAACAAATTGGAAGGAAGAGAAAGAATAAACAAAAAGCATTATTATTCATCACAAAAAATAACTAAAAAGAAACAATAAAAGCTAAGCAGTTGTCACTCCTTGCTCTTCAGAGCTTAATGGAAGACAAAACATATAAACATGTTGACAATGATTCAAAATAAAGAAGGAAAAAATACAGCTAGAGAATCAGCAGTATAAAATCACAGACAGATTATATTTAGACCAAGCAGCCATTCCATCTGCTTACAGAGGGAAGGCTGCACAGACATAAAATAAATGGCTTCAAAAGAGTGTCTGATATTGCCTAAGGCTCAATATGTTAAATAGGCAGTGATCGTTTTTACACTCTATTTATATTATGAATGAGAATCCACTTCTAAAGTAACTAAAAGAAATCAATATTTGGATTCTGACAAATGCAACACCTTCAGGAAGATCTCATTATCAGTTGCTCGACTGCTTCAGTCATTGAGGGAGCTTAAAGACAGATGAAACTGACAACCTCCTCCAAAAGTTTCAGTATTTTCATGTCCTTCCAATTTTGCATTACTGTTTTTGCTTGCGTCTGACTTCAGCCGTGACTTGCATGATAGTCATAAAGAAACTGCCGACTGATGTAGTCAAACCACGCCTTCTTCCGACACTTAATAGTGGTGATGAGAGATTCCTGTCGACCCAACTGACTGTTGACATTTCTCTGTACAAAGTCATTGGTATTGTGCTCCCAGTAGGAGATGCAGAGGAGCTTTCTCACTTATTTTTTTGGCAAATATCAGGGTCCTTTTTTCCTGTCCCAACCCGGATTGTCCATAAGTAGAGGAGGATGGATATAATTAGTAATTTGTAGTGCTTGAACTTGGTATGGAAGCTGATCTTGCACTTCCATATTATTTCCGGTTTCATTAGAGTCCAGATTCATTAGACCTTGGTCTAAATGGAAAGTCAGATGAAGGTCTAATCAATCATAATCTACGAAAATTATTTCCAAAAATAGGTTTCCTTATTTTTATGAATTGACCATTCCATTTAAGTTGTGCTCAATATCAGTTTGTTTTGACATACTGTTATCATGTCAGATTGAGCTATTTGATAATAATTAATATATTATTTGTCAGTACTATGTATATAACACATAATTCTGTTTAACAATATCTGGAGCCAATTTGCCAACGACATTCTATTATGCTCTTTACTACATCTTAGTTTTCATAAGATAGTATTCATATAAAATACAAATTGTGTTGATCCTAATGATGTACAATAATGAACCAGATGCAATGTATGTATGTGAACAATTCAAGTAGAAATATTCAAAATAAATACAATGTAACTAAATACAGATTAGAAAGTTGTAAGAAATGGATAATTTCATCTTGAATAAATCAACAATGTTCTGCCCTAATTTTTAACATTAACATCAGATTTTTCATGTTAAAAAGTTGAAAAATTGCAACACATTCAAGAATATGGATAAAAAAACATTGAATTTTAGATGGTCCCTTTTCGAGACTTGATATGAGCCAAAAAATTCACGGAATTTAACAAAAAAAAAAAAAAAGATCTCAGAATGACATCAAAATCCGAAGATATTTCATCCTTTAATAATCAGTTGTGCTTAGTTTAATATGCAACGTATATAAATGTGGGTAGAAAAAAGCCGTTGATAAGATAGAAATGGGTCACAAAGAGCAACACGGGGTTGGGGATAGTAAGCACTGACTCTGTGCATGTGTATGTGTGTGTTACAAGTTAATAGACTTACATTTTTAGAATTTACGTTATACTGAAGAATTTTGTTCTTGTAGGCAACATAAGCAAAAGAGTTAAGCAAATATGGTGATATCTGGAGAGAGGCCATTGCTTGTTCTGTGGAAGCAGGTAGCTGTTCCATTGGACGCACTGGAATTGGACACTCCTTGGGATTGTTAACCCAGAAAACTTCTCCCTAAGTGAAATCAAAGCAAAATAATAAAAAAAACAGATTTTATAATTAGTATTTTGTACTAAATTTAATATAGTTTGTATGATATGATAGTAAGAAACAAAAATATATATATATATATATATATATATATATATATATATATATATATATGATAAACAAAAGTGAAATGTTACTAGTTACTCAAAATTCAAAAATGATAAACATTTTATCATCACTTCCCTTGATAAAGTCGGATGTCAAAACATGTTGGCAAGAACTAAGTACTATTTTCCTATCGTCTATTCTATTAAATTTATCTTCGCTACATATACATTCTGATAACGTTTTTACATTGTCGACATGGAAAACAAAAACACAGATTCATTCAAAAAGAAAAAAGTTACTAACATCCAAAATAGATTTTCACAGGAGCGTCTTTAAAAAATTTCAGTTTCAAGTAACTGTACATTTTGTTTTTGTTTATCATCACTTACCTTGATAAAGTAGAATGATTAAACATGTCGGCAAAAACTAAGTACTGTTTTC